GCCTCAATTCTGCTGTTGCTGAAGTCATAAATATGGAATATCGAATCGAGAGTTTAGCCAACATTTCGACTACTGCGCGACGGTCATTATCACTTTAAAATATTTTATTGATATGTTTTAATATCAAATTTCAAATCTAATCCATATTCGTGTTTTAAAATCAAATATTTAAATCAATCACAAGCTTTTTTGTGTATTTTACTCATTGACTGTTGCTGAAAGCATAGTTTTGTAATAGGAAATTACAAGTAGAGTATTCATCCGACTTTGGATTAATTATTAAGCTGAGCAAAACTATCGATACTGTTGTAACTATGCCAGAGTTTTCAAAAGTTTTAAGTTAATATATTCATATTAAAGAAAAATTATTATGTGAATTAAAATTCCATTATATTAAAACCAATTTTGTTTTACATCTCTTATTAAATTGTTGATTTAATTAAGTGCCAAAATCAGCGAATGACGAAAGTAGAAACTAAATTAAGTTTAACGACTAATATAGACATAAGCCCAAATTTAAACGGAAACTCAACAAATTGGTAGAAATTAAATTATATCTGACAGTGACGGATTAATTAAGAAATTGTACGTGTTATTAATTGCTATATGAAAAGGACATACCAACATAAAAATTATTTCAATGTTCAATCCTCACAACTAAAAAGTTTAGCTTTTTGCTTTCATGTATGATTGTCCCCAATCATAGATGTAAATAGGCTACACTGATAGTTAAATATTATAAAGTCTATTTTTAACGTATTGGTTTTCCATATTCACGTGACTCAATTTTAAAAATTGGTTTTCCCGGTTCTAAAAAAGTAACATAACCTAAAGAAGAAGAACATAAATTCTTTTTTTCTAAAACATGTAATGAGTTCATACTGTTATGGAGACATTTTTTGTTTTGTTTTTACGGAAAGTTTTTCAAAGAAATTAGGCGGGGCGTTAGCGGCAAAGAAAATCTCCATGCTCAGCTCAAAAGTGTTGTACGGCACAGTGGCTGGCCAGGTTTTGTAGAAATCTAAGGGCTTGTCTTGAGGGAAGAACCAAGGGAATTGGACAATCTGTGACGAGCCATGTGGGGTTTGTCTTGAGGGAAGAACCAAGGGAATTGGACAATCTGTGACGAGCCATGTAGGGCTTGTCTTGAGGGAAGAACCAAGGGAATTGGACAATCTGTGACGAGCCATGTAGGGTTTGTCTTGAGGGAAGAACCAAGGGAATTGGACAATCTGTGACGAGCCATGTAGGGCTTGTCTTGAGGGAAGAACCAAGGGAATTGGACAATCTGTGACGAGCCATCTAGGGCTTGTCTTGAGGGAAGAACCAAGGGAATTGGACAATCTGTGACGAGCCATGTAGGGCTTGTCTTGAGGGAAGAACCAAGGGAATTGGACAATCTGTGACGAGCCATGTAGGGCTTGTCTTGAGGGAAGAACCAAGGGAATTGGACAATCTGTGACGAGCCATGTAGGGTTTGTCTTGAGGGAAGAACCAAGGGAATTGGACAATCTGTGACGAGCCATGTAGGGCTTGTCTTGAGGGAAGAACCAAGGGAATTGGACAATCTGTGACGAGCCATGTAGGGCTTGTCTTGAGGGAAGAACCAAGGGAATTGGACAATCTGTGACGAGCCATGTAGGGCTTGTCTTGAGGGAAGAACCAAGGGAATTGGACAATCTGTGACGAGTCATGTAGGGTTTGTCTTGAGGGAAGAACCAAGGGAATTGGACAATCTGTGACGAGCCATGTAGGGCTTGTCTTGAGGGAAGAACAAAGGGGATTGGACAATCTGTGACGAGCCATGTAGGGTTTGTCTTGAGGGAAGAACCAAGGGAATTGGACAATCTGTGACGAGCCATGTAGGGTTTGTCTTGAGGGAAGAACCAAGGGAATTGGACAATCTGTGACGAGCCATGTAGGGCTTGTCTTGAGGGAAGAACCAAGGGAATTGGACAATCTGTGACGAGCCATGTAGGGCTTGTCTTGAGGGAAGAACCAAGGGAATTGGAAAATCTGTGACGAGCCATGTAGGGCTTGTCTTGAGGGAAGAACCAAGGGAATTGGACAATCTGTGACGAGCCATGTAGGGTTTGTCTTGAGGGAAGAACCAAGGGAATTGGACAATCTGTGACGAGCCATGTAGGGCTTGTCTTGAGGGAAGAACCAAGGGAATTGGACAATCTGTGACGAGCCATGTAGGGTTTGTCTTGAGGGAAGAACCAAGGGAATCGGACAATCTGTGACGAGCCATGTAGGGCGTTGGTTGTCGAGTTTTTCAACTCAAAGCACAAGTTATATTTGATCATGAGTGAAAGGATCAAAGCAATAAAAATCTCCGGCCCATCTTCTGACAGTTTAAAATGTATCAACAGATAGCCCAGCATTTCTTTAGTCAGCAGAACTTTCTTCATGAAATCTCTTTTCATTTTCCGAAATGAGTTTTCCCCGATGGACAAAGTTTCTCCGATGGTTTTATCGTAGTGTTCAAAGTCCTGGAAGTCGTGCCAGAATGTGTTTATGTATTCAGTTTACATAGGGCAAAGGTCACCAAGTATAACCCTCATAAACGGGAAGTATATGTTGTGACAATATTCAATATAAAAATCCATGCTTCCTTTTTTATTTATTTGAAAATTGAATAATTTTCACATCAGACAGGCTAGCCTGTATATCCCCGGGTTTCCATTTGGATTTGTCAGTGGATGAAAAAGCAAGCGTTCTATTTCATACATAAAACCACACTACACACTGTAAAACCGTTGTTTATTTCAGGCATTTCTTCGGGCGGGTGATGGGGGCACAGCAGAACAAATTATAATTTATATAGAAAATATATACAATTACCAGTACAATATATAAAGTATTATAAATTGGCCTTTAGTTATGGCAGACAAAACTTGCAATAAAACTAGGAGATCACAGCTAATAAAATACTTCATCCTCAACACTACAGCGTAATAATTCTATCCACAACTTTAAAATATATTACACATAACAATTCTATCCACAACACTAAAGCTATTTCAATCATATCCTTCAACTCAAGCTCCTCTATCCTAGCATGTAAACAAACGTTCTATACACTTCCTGCGTGGTAAGATTTTTTTTCTTGATTTATCTTTTTATTTCTTTAGTTCAAACTGGCAAATAAAATTTTCATTTCAAAGTTTTATTTTAAAACGCTCTTAACGTATAAGATCTCTCTTCGTTTCTAGGTGTACAATATACAAAATCAATTTTGCAAAATATGTAGTAAGAAAGACAACTGTGTAGTAAAATGTATAAATATGTATTTTCATTGTTATTTCCCTTTGACCATAAATAAATTTAGTCTTCGTAATTCGAATTTGAAGAATAGTTTTTAACCTCTCTACAACCTTATACAGAAATATGGGGTGGGGGGGTAAGGTGGGGGGGGGGGGTTAATGGTAAATAACGGTTCTACAATAATTCTAACAAAATATATTCAACAAATTTTAACCTACAAGTTCACTCTATAGTTGTAGGGAAAGACATTTCATGGTATTTATACAGTTACCAACAACGAAGTAGTTATCTAATGTCAATAAGGATCTATAAAAACTGAAAGTACGACTGTCTATGTATTATTATCTTTTCGACTAACACTAGTCATACGCATCTGTTGCATGGATGCAGGAAAGTAGACATTACAAGCGCTAAATTTAGATACCGTAAATGCTGTTCTATTGACCAGTGTTTTAAATAAATATGAGCTTGTCTGTCCATATGTAAGTAAGTAGATAGGCCATTGTTTTCAATTGACTGTATACATTTATAGTCCATATGAATGTAAGTAGATAGGCGATTGTTTTCAATTGACTATATACATATATAGTCCACATTAATCTAAGTAGATATGATATTGCTTTAATAGACCATATACATATATAGACCATATAAATGTAAGTAGTTAGGGCATTGTTTAAATTGACCATATACATATAGAGTCAATTTGAATGTAAGAAGATAGGCCATTGTTTTCAATTGACCATAAACATGTCGACTTTAAATGTGATGTGAGAATGTCTAGTCGCATTCCCAAGGTCCGGCCACACATATCTAAGTGTGTCAGAAAATCTCTTTCCTTAACAGCGTACGTCAGAAGTAAATAATGTCTTATGTACGTATTTATATATGTTAAATATGGACATTACCCCCCCCCTTCGTCATTTCCCCCTCCCGAAGCAATTACCCCCTGGTGAATCCCCCCCCCCTCCACCAAGATAGAACCTTGACCTTAATTCCAACTATATTCCTTTATTATCTAAATCCTAGCCTTAAGAAAAAGAGTAAGCACTCACCTCAACCTAAAAATCTAACCGTTGCCCTAGCGCTAACACTACACCTAGCGCTATCCCTAACCCTAGCTGTACCTTAATCTATGACAAGGGTGGGTAATGTCCTCCTAGGCGAGGGTGGGGGAATTGACAGGGGGTAATTACCCCGGTGGTAATGTCGCGGTAAGGGTAATGCCATGTTCCCGTTAAATTTGATATATGTAGCATCTACATTATCTCAAGACAAAGTTTGGAAGAGTTTACTGTCGAGCAATTTCATTTTACATGTATGTACAAAGCGTTACTTTTTTACTTTATATTCAAGTACAAAAAGTTATATTGGCATTATAGGTATCGCGATCATGGACTGAACATTACGTGGGTTTGTTACACTAGCAAGTTTTAGCTACAAACTGGACCGATACATAAGTCAACAAACTTGACTGTCGATATTAAGTCTCAGCTACAAACTTGCCTGCCGACATTTCTCTGCATACCATCGTGTTTTGTTTATCATAAATATAAAACTTTTAGATTATCAAAGTTAACAAAATGAACGAAAAAACTTTGAAATCTTCTAAAACTTTATTGACATCAATATCGACATTTGCATGGATTAAAACCAATAATATAATAATCTCAAAAAATAATAATTATACAATAATATTATTATTATTATACAATAATATGCAACACGTTTCATTGGAATAAACATTTGTTTTTAATTTACTTGCCTAGCAACTTTAAACAAATGACTTGAAAGAAACCAAACAATTTATTTCTTGTCTTTACCAGAATACAAAGTTGCTGATGAACACATTGTAGTCTTGGTACACACAAGTCAAATGAAGGGAGTTGCCATTTTGTTTGTTTACATTAGACAAGGGGAGAGAACTAACAGTTACATTAGACAAGTGGAGAGAACTAACAGTTACAGAAGGATCAACCAAACAACCAAGGCTCCCCACTAAAATTTCCTTCAGAGTTTGATCCACTGTGCGGATGTGACAACCACCTGTGATATCCCAGCATGTAGACATGTGCTCCACTGGAGCCTGGACATGTACATGTTGTGTACGTGTACTTGGACCAACTTTTCCCCTTATGTTCGTGTGTCCATTGTCCTACAGAAACCTGTTTAGGACAGCCATGAGGATGTGACACTATAACGGTCAACTTGTCCACATCAAGATATCTCCAGTATTTGTCACTTACTTTCTCACATAGATTCTCAAAGTGCTCACACATCTTATACAGTTCATCAACCAAACCTAAGTCACATGACACACATGTTAACTCACACCTGTCTCCAAAAAGGTCTGCCCCACTCACTCCCCAACCATCAATACTGACCCCAGGACTTTTATTGTCATCAAAACCTACAACACACCTGGTCCGTTTCGCCTCACTGTCATCAAACACTACGTGTTTTGCTGTCACCACATGAACCTTCCCCCACACATTACTAGGTGTGTCCGAGTGTTTACACTTGCCACATGGACAAGTGCCCTTGTTGTCACGCTCTGTGTACTTGATCACATCAAACACCCGTCCCGTCCCTGTCCTCAACACGTCACTTCCTCTGGTGTTATAACATGGATACTGACCACTGAAGCACGGAAGGGACTTTGGTCTTTTTAGACTGGTGTACTCTACCTTTATCAGGATCGTTAGGGCAGACAAAGCTTTGATTACATCCAACATAATGACGTCACGGTAACGTAAAGGGAGATGATCAAAATTGAAATCATTAACAGGTATAAAGTTGACATGACCTGGATTTTTCTTACAGCTGGTATAGTGTTTGCGTAAGTCAGCTTCACCTCCATAGCAGATCTCACATTCATGGTGTCCTGGAGAGATACAAGGGGAGGAAATTTATTGAAAGTAAACTTTAACAGCATTATAACAAAATAAATAATCATACAATACTACAAAAGGAGGTCATTCATTTTATTGAAATATTAACATTGAAAATATTTTCTACACAACATATCTTACCTGGTTTAAAGACTGTTTCGCTTAGTGTTGCACCCATGTTTAAAAATAGTTTTATCTTTCTGCAATCTGAAAAGAAACTTCAATTGATTACACAGCTTGTGAATGATGTGTGCAATAATGTCAACTAGCCCCCACCCCCAGCACAACGCACTAATAGGACAAAAGATCAGAGTGAGAAGCAGGACTGACAGTATATAACTAATTACTTTATTTTTAAAAATCCATCATATATTATTTAAGTTATAACAAACTGTGAGATTTGATTTAGTTTTAATAATTTTTAAATAAAACTTGTAAGTTGATTAATATAACAGTTCTGTAGTTCAACAATTACTTTTTTATGTCTGTGTAATCATTTTAATTTATTAATTAAAGCTGTACTTAAATGTTAGGTGGCTAGTTAGGCAAATATTTTTAAAACTTTGATATATGAAATGTTGGCAAGTTTTGCTGGTAAAATATATGTCATGGCATTCAACAGTTGTGATACTATGAATGATGTACTTAAAATTTAAATTAATTGTTTAAATTTAGATTGATTAATTAAAAGAAATTAGTTTTCACAACAGATACAGAAACTCTTGTCACCAGCATACCACCACTCAATAATTACATCATCTGGTTATGCTGGAAAACTTATTTAACTTTTTAAAAAAAATTACCTTAAAAAATTCCACTATAAAATTCTTGTATGTATTGCCTGATTTTTCGTACTGAAGCCTTTATTTCTTTACTAACTGTTAAACAGAAGGATACTAATTTAAATGTGTAAAATCTACAAAGGGTCAAGATGTATTAAGTGAAAATAATTTAAAATTTGTTTTACTAAAGTAGAAGAATTAACACCATTTTTACGTATGTTTAAAAATCAGGTTGTAATAGTAATGAAATTCTCATTTTTAACTAATATCTAAATATGCACAATGGAATAATGTATAAACTTACCATATGACCTAACTGTGTAGTGACATATTAGGCACCCATTTGTTGTGTCTGATGTTGGCTGAGCTTGTGATGTCTGATGTTGGCTGAGCTTGTGATGTCTGATGTTGGCTCAGCTTGTGATGTCTGATGTTGGCTGAGCTTGTGATGTCTGATGTTGGCTCAGCTTGTGATGTCTGATGTTGGCTGAGCTTGTGATGTCTGATGTTGGCTGAGCTTGAGATGTCTGATGTTGGCTGAGCTTGTGATGTCTGATGTTGGCTGAGCTTGTGATGTCTGATGTTGGCTGAGCTTGTGATGTCTGATGTTGGCTGAGCTTGTGATGTCTGATGTTGGCTGAGCTTGTGATGTCTGATGTTGGCTGAGCTTGTGATGTCTGATGTTGGCTGAGCTTGTGATGTCTGATGTTGGCTGAGCTTATGATGTCTGATGTTGGCTGAGCTTGTGATGTTGGCTGAGCTTGTGACCTGTAACACCCAGTCAAATACTTTTGCAAGGGTCCTCAAATAATTTATTTAGTTTTATGACCTGAAAAGACATGAAAGTAGAAAATGTATTACAATTAATTGAAATATGTAAAAACATGATGATAGTATCTTTAGCAATGATTCGTGTGTTTTAAAAGGAATTTTGTTTTGTTTCATCGAAGAATAGACACATGTCTTAAGTAAGATTTTTTATAGAATCAGCTATATCCTAGTCAAATGGTAAAATAGTTGACTTAATATGGCGTCTAACATTTAATGTATTCGAGATTAAAATTCAATATTTTATATACAGCACACATCATTGTTTTATCTGACTTTTCCAAATTACATTTTCCTTTTCCAAGTCCCGATAGGCAATTTTATCATTCACATCTAAAAAAAATGGAAAACAAAAAATGTAACATTGACGTGATGTGTCTCGAACCACCCTGCATGGTAACTATTACACTATCAACTCAGCTGTCTGGCAAGTTCAGATTATAATCAAAATTAGTAGTATAGTTACATTGAGTGTCAGCGTTAGAAATTTAAGTTACGCGATTAGGTCCTAGTATTATTTCAAATTGAATTTTATCTCAAATTAGCTAATTCCATAGCTAAACAAAGATGTTTATACAATAATTAGGGTCTGAAATAGTTTATTATAGACACTAACTATTGGCATATATTCTAGATCTAGATAGATCTAGAGATCTACATCTAAAACCTAGATCTAGAATCTACGGCTGGTTAAAGTCTAGTTTTTTCCGTAAGTCTAGATCTAGAATCTAGATAGCTAAATCACTTGTATTCTCGAGTTAGATGATCCTTAAACCTAAAAATAAAAGATTTTTATCAAAGATTTATGGACTAATAGTGTTTAATAAAGAAACTCAATAAAGTATTGTGTTTTTATGATTATTTTCATTTTTTAAACAAATTAATTTTTGTTCGACCTAGATTCTAGTTCTATAACTTTTCTTTCCTCCGACAGCTTATCTGTAGATCTAGAGAAATGTATCGCATACTCAATTTGAAGTAATGTTGAATATTGATAATAGTGTTTGTACTTAACAAAAATAGCATACGAACGTAGGCCTGTCGCTAAAGCTGTTGCCGAAATAAATTTTAGATTCAGAATGCTTTAAACTAAATGAATCATGTGACTCACTATAAGTAAAGTCATTGTTCTGAACTTTTATAATTATAGTGGTGTTTCTAGCAACGAATATATCAATAAATCGATTAACTTTTAAAAATAAATTTGTGATTAACAGTTTGGTTTAAAAGAACATTATTTTCTACCTAAACACGTATTTTACAGCTTTACATATAGTGCAAATTCTCTCCTGAAACCAAACAGACAAACAAAGAAAACTATACTAACTTGTAAACAAACTTGAGTTTTAGTATTATACTAGACCACCGGGCATCCCTTGGATAACTGTGGGTTTCGGGAATCATCCATAAAAAACATCACGTCTGTCACTTATCGTATAAAAAAAACTAAACCCCCACATTCAAAAAGACGTCACATCTCAGACCTTTTAATCTTTTAAATGCACCGATTTCGGCTGAGCATGGGTTAAACAACACAATCTCTTCATATGCTGAGGTCACAAAAATAGGTCAACTCTACTTCACCTGCCTAGTGCCCCCCCCCCCCCCCGACTCACACATGTTTTTGTCTTTGAAAACACAGATTTCGACTGAGCATTTGTCTGACCACACTATCTCTTTATCTGCTGACGTCACAGATGAACTATACACCTACCCAACTCTACTTCACCTGCCCAGTGTCCCACCAAGTCTCAGACAACACGTTTTATCGTTCTATCCACACTATTCGCGTCAGATGATCAGGACAAAGGCGTTTTGTTGTCTCTTTCAAGTTTTTTCCCGAGCCGACCCCGATCCCACCCCTCTTTCTTAGCCTCGCGAGTATCGAGTAGATCAATGTATCGTTTATGAACTACTTCCTAACCGTACGATTCACACTTCAGCACATTTTGTCAGACACTAGACAGCACTAGTCAACAGATATTAATTTACTTGCATAGTATTAGGCACATCTAATTCACAAAACAGGTAATGTAAGATTATTTTTTATATAATTATTTAGAAAATAATTAGAACGTTTAGAATTGATTGAACATTATTAATAGTCAATTACTTTTTATAAATGACGTCAATGAGGTGGGGGTGTGTGAGGGTCAGGCTGTTTATTAATCGTTAAAAAAATGTGACGTCATTTGTGGATTCCTCCCCCCCCCCCCATAAATCAGAAGGTTATCCGACGCGTGAGCTGGCCACGTACAGATGTACATATGAAATACATGTTTCTGTCTATTGTTATGCATTACTCATTTACTGCATCATTCACCCAATCGCCATGAATTGAAAACTTGGGAAGCTGTTGATTATAGCCCCGCAAAGGTTTCTGTAATAGTCCTAACATTTGTTTACATATTGGAGTGGAGACGCCTATATTTAAAAGGAAATATGTGATTTAGCGCCCCGAGATAAGCGGATGGGGTAACTACTTGAATCCATCGGCGGCAGTGTCATCATGAGCGCATCACATTTGAGCAGGTTGGCCCCCATAGACAGTCGTTTAAAAGTTCCCAAAACACTAGGAATAAGTCTCGCTACAACACTCGATGACTAAATCTAATCAAGTGTTGCGCCAATCTTTCTTCCAGACTTTTTTTTCTCCGGGAGGGGGGGGGGGGCAGACATTGGTAAATGTATTTTTTTCTATATAAATTTCCATTTCATTCGGGGGGAGGGGGCGGGCGGCGGGAGACTTTCTTCGAAGAGATGCATGAAAGAAACTCTGAGTAGAGTTCACTTGTTTCTGTGACCTTACAACATTTCGACATTACGACATAATTAATAAATAATTATTTTTTAATGTGTTCGAAAACGTTTCATATTATGTACACCTTGTTAATTTTTTCTTGGTAAATTCAATTTGATTATTTCCGTTAATTTGAAAACTATTGTGTCTATGGAGAAACAAAAACCAAAATGTGTTTTAAACGATGCATAAATTATTTAACAATAACTTACTTCAGATCAATTTTAAAAACCCACTTGGCCAAAAAAAATGTATATGCATTTCTTAGTTTTTAACCATGCCACCTGTCATATTATCTTTCATATTTAAAAACGTCACAACACCACATCCCCTCCACACCCCCACACACACATCATGCCTCATTCACCACGCAATGCTTGACATTCAGCTCGACTACTCCCAAAAAAAAAAATTCACATAACATATTTGTATTGATCTTATAAAAAAGGTTTAGTTCAGTTAATGGCAAACCACGAACAAAACTTAAACACAAACTGTTTTTATAACAGCAGATCCACAGCTTCTTCAAATAAAGTAATACAATTTGGTAGTAACTATCTATAGTAGCACTGACCTTTGACAACATTTTGTAAAGTTATAAAGAATTTCAATCTAGAACAAGTCCCTTAATCCCAGCTCCACCCTTATTGTATAACAAGCATACACTGTTACCGTTTAACGAAACGCACGTGAAATGTGGGGAGGGGGTAAACATAGAGAAAAAATTAAGTTTCTCTGGTGGAGGGGGGGGGGTGTGCTATATTTTAAACTTAATATTGATATAAATTTAAAATCTTTAATTTTTGTGTATGCAGATTTAATCAGGTTTAAAAAGTTAAATACACAAAATTGGATTCCGTGTGCAGATAGGTTGAAGCTTAATGATATGTATTCAATTTTCTTTACTAAGTCAATATGATATGTATAAGTTATTTCTACAGGTAAAATAATACACACATTTTCCTTAAATATGTTACGTTATTTAATCATCTACATACGAATGATATATACATCTTTACTATGAATTACTGACACATATATATATATATATATATATATATATATATCAAACTTATTAAATTATTATAACTAGAAAGAGATATAATAATTATATACAGCCAGCAAAAGTTCGTTTAGGCCTATGTTGATTTAAAATGGCTACCGTTCACAGAGTGCTATTTTTAGTATTACGTAAGTTTGTTAATCTGCGGTTTTCCCGAACGTATAATTATGTCTAAATCGTATGATAAATAACTTCTTATATTGTCTGTGCCAGAATTCGTTCCAATATCTTTATTTTCTTCTTTCAGAATTCATTTTTGTTCATCATTGTAAATATGTATGTGTCTAGGGAGAAACATAAACGCTAGTGGTATTTTTAGAACAAGAAAAAGTCCCGTAATCTGATGTTTAGTCATTATAAAATGTATATGTTTGACTCATATTATTTCTATCAGAAAAATTATACACACATGTATTTTTAGACCTGTTACGTTATTTTAATAATGTGCATACTTATATTCTTATATAACACATACAACCATAGTATGACGTAATCAAATATATTTTGATGTTAATGTTTTTAGTGGTTAAAAAATGTCATTAATAAATTGGAGTTAGAATGGAGTTAGAATGTCCCTTTTCTCTTTTAATAACTATATTCAGCAATAATTTACAATTGAATGAACTACACTAATAAAACTAGGTAGAGAAATAATAAGTACATACCTTCCTCAACAGATCCTATAGGGCTATGTTGATTTAAAATGGCCACTTTCACAGAGTGCTATTTTTAGTATTACGTAAGTTTGTTAATCTGCGGTTTTCCCGAACGTATAATTATGTCTAAATCGTATGATAAATAACTTCTTATATTGTCTGTGCCAGAATTCGTTCCAATATCTTTATTTTCTTCTTTCCGAATTCATTTTTGTTCATCATTGTAAATATGTATGTATCTAGGGAGAAACATAAACGCTAGTGGTATTTTTAGAACAAGAAAAAGTCCCGTAATCTGATGTTTAGTCATTATAAAATGTATATGTTTGACTCATATTATTTCTATCAGAAAAATTATACACACATGTATTTTTAGACCTGTTACGTTATTTTAATAATGTGCATACTTATATTCTTATATAACACATACAACCATAGTATGACGTAATCAAATATATTTTGATGTTAATGTTTTTAGTGGTTAAAAAATGTCATTAATAAATTGGAGTTAGAATGGAGTTAGAATGTCCCTTTTCTCTTTTAATAACTATATTCAGCAATAATTTACAATTGAATGAACTACACTAATAAAACTAGGTAGAGAAATAATAAGTACATACCTTCCTCAGCAGATCCTATAGGGCTATGTTGAATTGAAAATGGCGATTCGTCATATTTTTTTTATTGCAACGTAAAGTTCGTTTTATGAAGTTTTCCCGATATTATTTTTCCCGATATTATTTAATATGTCTTGAGTGTTGCCGTTTAGCCAGTACCTTATGAACTTTCCTATAATCTGCAGAAACAATAAACAATATAACTAAAATCAGTTATTAAAATAAACAGTTTTAAAATATTTTAAAATATTATATTTATGTTTTCGCTTAAAGCTCCATTCTTTTTTTTTTAAATTGAACATATAACAATCCATGGCGTGAAAAATATATTAAGTTTTCTTTACAATGCAACTCTTTTATATGATGTATTGTCAGTATACATCCCACCACAATTCGTTAAATTTGCTTTTACTGCAATTAACATTATGTTATGTTTTTGTGCACATTTAGGCCTATTTATTGATTATAAATATCCACTTATGCATCTTTCTCTTTCTTTCTTTCTTTCTCTCTCTCTCTCTCTCTCTCTCTCTCTCTCTCTCTCTCTCTCTCTCTCTCTCTCTCTCTCTCTTTCCTCTTAATATGTTTGTCGGAGTTTTTGTTGGTGTGTCTTATATGCATTACTACACTTTTTTTCGATCACCTTGGAGCTTTGGGAAGTTGTTAAGAATACTCATGTGGAGGTTTCCGCCCCAGAATGGTGCGATGCGATGTTTATACAGTATATAAAAATAAAATTCAGATGCGATTTGAAACCGTTCATCGGAGATCCATAAACGCTGTATTTAAAAAAAAATTAATTTAATGCATTCAATTTCTAAAAAAAATTCATAAAAAACGTTTTAATAACAAGCTTTTATGTAATGATGCACTAAAAAGTAGAAAATAAATTATAGACTACTATTTAAATAACTATAAAGAAAAGCGTGGGTCACTTTAGTATCTATAGGATACCTTTACTAATGTTAAGGAAGACACCCACGCTTTTCTTTATAGTTATTTAAATAGTAGTCTATAATTTATTTTCTACTTTTTAGTGCGTCATTCCATAAAAGCTTGTTATTAAAACGTTTTTTATGAATTTTTTTTCAGTACTTTACATGTTTTATTTACAATAGAGTTACATGACTAAAAACCATTGCGCGCCTACTGAACATCACGTTCAGTAGGGGCGCAATGGTTTTTGAACGCAGCCATTACGTTATGGCGCAGCTATTGAAGGTGATGACGCGTGTGGTGTGGTTGGCTAGACATGCCTACTAATTCGGTCCAAATTTTAATTAATTCATACAAAATTAATTAGGCATCCAATTAAGTCAAATTTAGTTTCAGATTGCATTGTCTTCATGTCTTGACCCACGTGCCAACTGTGAATCGTATCGGTCAAGTAGAACTGTCCGAATTTTCACTCCTGCGTTTCCGTCTAGACAGACTGACGACAGAGGAAGTGAGTTAAATAAAAGCTTGTAAAAAAAGGTATTTTTGTGAAATTTATAAAGCAAATTGATTAGTGACGAAGCGTATAATATATACACATTCAATATACGTATAGTAAACTGCTTTGATTAACTTGAAAATCTCCCATTAATTTGAGATTCGTAACTTTACTCTTTTAATGATTCTAGCATATTATAAAATTAAATTGCACAACGTGTAAAGACTATCACACACATTTTTAATGGCTAGTTTAATACTCAGAGATGCTTATTAAAGTTTATTTCAAGCTAGAAATTATGCCAATTAGTTTATATTAAAAATAATTGTTGCAAACATTTTAGTAATCGTCTCTCTTTTCTCTCTCTCTTAAAAATGATGTGCTAAATTTTAATAGCCTTCGACATCAAAAAGTGCTCTTACTTAAAAGTAAATATTAAGCCTTATACAGATTAAATGACATAATTTTATATTGCTATATAACACCCTAATCGCAGACGTTATGTACACCATAGTTTATCAGGCGGGCCCTAGAACTACATTTCTAACACTAGTTCAGCCCCTATGTTAAATTACCTTTCACATAGTAAATCATAGTCACAAACATTAGTAAATTACAACCATCACCCACTGCCCACAGTATAAAAAGCGAGAATTATTATTAAAGGAAGGATAGAACTAAAATTCAACCTTAATTTCATCCGATGTGTGACATATTTTACCTAGGTGTAAGACGTTACCCTTCCCTAACCCCGCCCGGTTTGTTTACAAAATGTTTAAAGAGTATATAGCTTTTTACACCATAATAGTAAACAACTGCAACGCCTAATATTATTGTAAACGAAAAAAAAGAATTAAAATATAAGAAATCGTACCTAAACATTGAACACATGAAGCATACTTTATATCTACTACCAAAAAACACAACAGAAGTATGTATTAAATATTAAACAGTATGTAAAGACTTGCAAATAATAGCAACACTTAACATAAAAATGAAGCATAGAACAAAAATTTAAACATAATTTTATCCCAAGTGTTGCATGCTTTAATTAGGTCTGAGACGTTACCCACCCTTACCCCCACCCGGTCATTAGCCTCAAGATTACACAATAACCTCCTCTCAAATTCCAGCCTGTATAATAACCCTATTGAATAATACATGCTTTTATTATACCATTACCTTTCCGTTTCTATCCTCATCTTTAAATCACTAACCCTGTTCCCAACCAAAACCATATACTTATCCTTAATTATCGTCTTTCCATATTCTTTATTACATCCTCTCATTACCGTTACCTTTGTCGTTGCCATTAACATTACCGTTTACATTTACCTTTGCTACTACCACAATCATCACCACCACCACCACCGCCAACGCCGCCGTTACCACGGAAGGTAACGGTTACCGTTACTTTTCCCATTAAGATAACCGATGAGTAACCGTTCTTCTAAACGTTGTGTAACTGTCTAGGGTTTGGGTAACGTTCTAATGCAGTTTTTCGGGTCGGGAAATACCCTCGGGGAGGGATAATTCAACTGGGGGTAATGACGTCAGCAAACTTTACCAGTACAATTAACCGAACGGGAATAATGTCGTAATCCTTTTTTAAATACCCGCTAGCACATTGGGTAACGTTACATAACATATCCTTAGGTCACAACACCTCTATATCTTTTTTTGGGGCTTTGCGGACATTCCTTCTCTATACACACACATACACAAACACGCACACACACAAACACACACGCACACGCACGCGCACACACATACACACACACACACACACTACAACCAAATTTAACACAACAATATATCGAACGTTTTTTTTTCATAATGTCTTCTTCTTTTAACCGTACAAATATTCAAAATAGAAGAGATTTAATTAACGAATTCTATTATAAACCTTGTATTCTAAACTCAAGCCATATAAATCTATCAAGTAATACTACATGTAATAATACGATTCTCTACACAGACGAATTATTTCGTTTAAATAACAAAAAAACATCTTCGTCATTAATCGAAATAAGTTTAGTTAATATGCCAAGTTGGTTAAAATCATCGTTTACACCAAACCCTCAGTGTGCTGTGGGTAGGTGCCGGTTTAAGGACGGTGACGTGTCTAACGAGACCGACGTTGTCATGGTGATGGGTGTTAGACTACAGGACCAGCACAAGCCGCCAGTCAGATGGCCGGGTCAGCTCTACGTCATGTTTGCTCATGAGTCGCCTGTACACTACCAGAAAAGTTCTCTACAGAAAGGTGGGTCTCTGATAATCGCAGTGATACATTTCTCTATCGGTTAATCTACTGCTTATGTCTTGAGCTTACACAGAAAAACTGTCAAGAATCTCAAAATCGCAGTAGTCATTATTTCAATCGATTGATTTCATTAGTGGCTGACACAAACTGTCAAGAATCTTATAATTTCAGTAGACCAGAGCTCAATAGACAAATGCTTATAACAGAAGCTTACATAGATGAACTGTTAGACAATCTGAAAATCTCAGCAGTCCATATACCCATCGATTAAAGTAATGCTTACATTAGGGGCTTACACAAAAAAAATTTCACGAATCTTATAATTTCACAAGTCCATATCTCTCTTGATTTATTCAATGCGAATAAGAGTGGCTCTTACATACAAACTGCAAAGAATCCGATAATCTCAGCACTCCGTATCTCTATCAATTCATCTAATGTTTATAACATGGGCTCATACACATAAAAACTGTAAAGAATCGGATAATTTCAGTAGACCAGAGCTCGATAGACAAATGCTTCTAACAGGAGCTTTCATTCATGAACAGTTAGACAATATAATAAGCAGTTTTCTTCTCACCACGTTTGTGCCCAAGACTATGCCCAGCCGCTTTGTTCAGAGCTGGGTGGACTCAGGGACGTTCCATTGATTTGAACACGAATTTGAACTAGAAACTCTAGGGTTAGCTCCCTTCCGCTAGGCCACGCCGTCCAGATAATGTCAGTAGTCATTAATTGTATCAATTTATTTATTGCATATATTATAGGCTAACAAAGAAAAACTGTCAAGAATCTTATATCAGTATTCAACAGCTTAACAGATTAAACATGTATTTACCTAAGTAGGCCTATGTCGCGAGAAATTCATTAACATAATTATCTATTCATGAAAAACATATTACTTGTACATATATATATATATATATATATATATATATATATATATATATATATATATATATATATATATATATTTATATATATATATATATTTATATATATATATATATATATATATATATATATATATATATATATATATATATATATATATATATATATATATATATATATATATCACAAGACTTTTTTGTCTAAGATAACGTTTCACCTTCTAGCTTCTTCCCCTTGGAGGTACGCCTTCAACATGACCCACACCTATACACAAGATTCCGATGTCTTTTGGCCAGTGAACCAGTTAAGATTTGAGTACACGCCACACTTACAGAAACCTAATTACAGTGAGTAATTATGCTAATTATCACAGGTGAACAATGCAATCTGCAATGTTTACTTTAAAAAATAGTATCATACATATCACTGTGTTTATTTTTTTTTAATGTTCACATTAAGTAAGTTCGCACCTCGACTTACAGTTTACCTGTTTCTGTTACCTCGGCATTAAACAAGAAATGTTTAAACTATTTATGTAATATAAAAAAAAATTAGCAGCACATCAATATGCCATGAAAATCAAGTGATATTTTAGTTGCTATAAATCTTTGCTTAAAAATAAAGACAAAAAGAATTTTATAAAAAATAATGTTTCTCTTAAATAGCTTAACAACGAACATGTTTAAAAGTTTCATATCTAACATTTTTCGGCTTTTTTCAATGTATTTTATTTTGCTGTTATTTTTTTATTCATACTATCTAATCTGTTAATTAGTATTAAATAAATACATGGGCGTTGTGATATGTAGTCAGAACCCCTTTTATTAAAGAATCAGAAGATGAAAATACGTTTAATTAGCTAATAGAAATCATTACTATTTTATATTGCAAGAAACAAATAGGCAAATTAATCAGAAGAAGGAGTGGTGGAATATCGGGAAGGGGGACGTTGCATGTGTGTAATTGACAGGTGTAATTGAAAGGATGTAACTGACAGATTATAATTGCCGGGATGTAATTGACTGGTAGGTATTGAAAGAAGTAGTTGATTAGGTGCAGTTGGTAGGATGTAATTACCGGGGTGTAATTGACAGATGTAATTGACAGGTTATAATTGACAGAGTGTAACTGACAGGGTGTAATTCACAGGATGTAATTGACAGGTGCAATTGAAAGTGTGTAACTGACAGGGTTTAAATGACATAGTGTAACTGACAGGGTGTAATTGAATGATGTCATTGACAGGGTGTGACATCCAGTATTCGTTATAAAATTGACAGTAAATAAAGAAAGTTGCGGTTTTCATGAATTTTTATCCGAAACTAACTTTTCGGGGATCCTTTTAACTGCTTTCAAACTAAAAATTAAAAATTAAAAAATCAAAGCAAATGGGTAATTATCTTCTGGTTTAAATATTTTACAGTGGTGACCTCTATTTTAGCGCTTGCCAAAATATCCATTCAATAGTTACAATAGTAAAATTACAATCGAGCTATGTAGGTTCTATTAGTACACAACGTTGTAAAATGCATTCGAAATGTTAGCGTTGACAGCGCAAGAAGGTTGGATTTATGAATACAAATAGATACAGGGAATAAATATTTACACTATTATTTTTTTAAACGGCAGGTGAGATATTTAAAAACAAGAACAGAACAGCCGTGTGGCTTGTCAGTCACTGTAGCACACAATCTTTGAGGGAAAAATACGTCAAAGAAATGCAAGTATGTTATCTACATGACCTTTTTGTTATCAGTTGTATTGTTAATGTTTAGTACACACAGTAGCGTCACAAGGGTGAGGTAAGGGTGTGGTCCGCACCCGGTGGCACCTTTTAGCGAGTGACACCAAATCGAAAAAATGATTAAAAAAACTAGTCAAAACAATGTTTTTATCTGGTAAGAATAAATTTAAAATAGTAGCTGCGTAAGAAAGATAGCAATTCGAAAATGAAAGATAGTTGTAGGGGGGGGGGGGCGAAAACATAAAAACTATACATTTTTTAAAGTGCTTGAACTAGATCGCCCACTTGCAGATACGACTCAAATCTGATATTAGGTAAGGAGATAGCGCTGACGCCGTAAACTCTCGTAAAATACCAGATTGTGGTTAAACAACTTTCAAATAGATATGACAAAATACGTCATGATCATAATATTCAATATTTGTTTTATTCAGACGTAAATATATATATATATATATATATATATATATATATATATATATATATATATATATATATATATATATATATGTATATCTATATATATATACATATGTATATATATATATATATATATATTGTATATATATATATATATATATATATATATATATATATATATATATATATATATATATATATGTATGTATGTATGTGTGCGCTTGTGTTTGTGTGTGTGCGCGTGTGTGTGTGTAAATGCTTTTATAAAGTTTGTAATACTTCCAAACAGAAATACATTGATGTGGATATCTTTGGGGCATGCGCTAAAAGACGAGTATGCCCTGACATAAATGACACCGGGTGCCTGGATAAAGTTTTCAACACCTACAAGTTTTACCTGGGATTTGAGAACTCTGTCTGTGTGGACTACGTCACGGAGAAGTTCTTCAACGCGTTCACACCCGGCCGTCACGTGGTTCCCGTCGTCATGGGTGGGGCAGACTATGACCGTCTGCTGCCCAACGGTTCTTTCATCAACACGGGCTGGTTCCAGACGGCGAGGGACCTGGCGATGTATCTAAAGGTCGTAGGTCAGGACGAGGCGACCTATACCCGGTATCTTAAGGTCAAGGACATGTACAGGCCCACGGGGTCACAAGGTACGCTGTGTTTGATGTGTGACGCTTTGTTTGGGGATATCAAACCTAAGGTGTACGACATGTATGCATGGTTAACCGGACAATGCCGGGCACCCAAAAAGTTTGTTTAGTAATATGTTGAGAGTTTGGTTCTAGAAATATTAAAAAGAATTATTTTGTACACGTTTTGCGTGTTCAAATCCTAATCATTTTTTTTAAATAGACTTATATTTTAAAGAAATTAATTTTATAAACACAACACTATTACAAAAGCAAACGTATTTTTAAAAATTTAGATACAACCTAGAACAAAATTAAATTTAATGCATTTTTAAAACAGCATTTAGTAAATCATAACATTCTTAGAAAATTAAAATATGCAATTAACATAACATACGACCGAGGCCAACAGTTTGAAATAAAATGGCTCCCAGAAATAAGCCATAAGGCAGAGAGTTAAATCGGAATATCCAAGAATGCGTTGCTTATTGGCTTAAACTATTTAGAACTACAAACATCATCATCGCTGTCACCAGCATCATTCATGTGGACCTCTTGTCGAGCGTAGGGACGCAACTAACCACCCCCCCCCCCCCCATTGTACTCTGTTCTGTGTGAATTCTCCAAGTTTAGCCCACGACATTCCGGCTGTTTCTGCTTCACTCACAGCTGACCTTTTCAACGTTTGTTATGCCCTACCTATCTTTCTTTTTTTGTCCCTAGACTCCGTACCAATGTGCGTTTACGTATTTCTTTGACAGTAGGGTCGTGCCCAGATAAAATAAGAACGGACAAAATATTCCTCAATAGTTGTGTAATTTTATTCAAGTAGATACTACAACGAAAATTATAGACACATGCTTTCATCTAACATAAAATGTCTTAGGCACTTTAACATACGTATGACAAGACCACTTTCTCAAGCACAAGATAAGACAACTCGGCGTCGCGAGTTGACACCAGCTGGAAAATTTACAGAGAAAAAAAGTGGGGGGGGGGTTAACACACCGGGTGACACCCCACCCCTAGCGACGCCACTGAGACTACTGAGAATTATTTTTATAGTCTTACAAGATTGATAATTCAGTTACATTTCATAGCAATGTAAACAGAAAGTGTTATTTCAACGCCAAGGGTAGACAAAGGTACAGAATATAGTCCAAGTTAAGACAGAACATACAGACCCGACGGGTTCCGAACCTACCACTCCTCACGGCACCGAATCGCCTCGCCTTCCATGCATCAAGTCAGACGTGTAACCGATTCTGCCAATCAGCTCTACAAAAATAAAGCTTTCATGGCAGAGCACAATCACAACCTATGCACGAAAGACGCGGGCTGGCGTGACCTTTGAACCGCGAATGGGACTGACCGTTAGCCTCAAACACAACAAGGACCATTATTCGACCACACAGGCGACACAAGTATAGGGACGACGATACAGACAAATAGTAGCTTCCTTAAATGGGTATAGTGTAAACATGGTGAGGGGTGGAAGCAGGCGTTGTGACTGAAATAGCAATGTAAACAGAAAGTGTTATTTCAACGCCAAGGGTAGACAAAGGTACAGAATATAGTCCAAGTTAAGACAGAACAGACAGACGGTTACATTTCATCGAACAAATTGGATCAATTAGTAACTGGCTAAACTAGTCCAAAGGTTGTATCAGTGTTGAAAGATTATTCGAAAAGCATTAATGAGCAACCAAATATGTATTAGTTAAAGTACATTAGCAGCTATGAAATAAAACTTGAGCTTTCTTATTTTGTTCAATTAAAATTAACATGAACATAAAAAAAAAATAATGTATGTTTTGACTGAATGTTTTGTTGCAAAAAAAATGTTATCTCCCATATCAAAAATGTAAAACACTACCTAAGGGAAACAACTAAAACAATAATCTCTAAATTAAATGAACAAAAGTATGAATTAGAAATAGAACAAAATTATTTTCACTATTTAAATTTTGATTATTATTATACGCAAAAAATTGTTTTCATTAAAAAAATGTAAAAGTGTATAAATAAATTAACACTCAAAATTAAAACTTGAATATAATTAGCAATTAAACCTTTAGATATTTTATTTTTATTATTTTATATATATACATATGAACGAAATTCATAATTGATGAGTTATTAAATAAACTACAAGTTTTGGATCCCTTTGGATAAAGGGACAGTGAAAAAAAAAAAATTTGGATAAAGGGACAGTAAACTAAGCAGTCAAGATAAACCGAGTTTGCATACCTTATTTTAGTCTAGTTCTTAGGCTATTTTGTCTTTTCCATTTAATTACTATATACGCAATTGATGTTCATGTCTTTGATGCTGTGTAAAACCATCAAATAAATTATTATTACTATTTTAAATGTTTAAAAACCCACCCCCCCCCCTCAGCCCACCACGCCGATGGGAAAAAAAATCCCTTGAATGATAATTTAACTACACATTTGCATTTTCAGGTTGTATTTTTTAAAATCTTTTTTTTATATTTATACGTTTTGTATTAGATCTAGAATCGATGTATAAGTAAATCATCTTAAATGAATGAAAGTAGGTTACAAGTAAGAAAGAAATATTACTATTGTAGATCTGTAACAGTCCACACACACACAAAAACATTAAATAAAGGGACAAATAAAGTGATATTGTTCCAATTTAGCTTTATGGCGTGCGTGTCCTACCCCATTAACCAACAGCAGCTTACTGACGACTACAAAGAAATCAAAATTTATTTCTTAATAAATAATTCTCACATATAAGAATTGGTAGTCAAATAAAGGGATGTAAACTTCATTTAGAACGTATCACTAAAATAAAAAAAAATATTATTTTTAAACTTTATAAAATAATAACCATACAAATGCTCTGAAAATAAGACTATGAAACGTATTTGCTTTCTTTAATAAAAACACGTGTCGCTCATGAAATATCGTACACATTTCGGAGCCCAGACCTTTTATTAAAGAAAGCAAATTAGTTTTATTTTCTAATTATTTTATTTTAATTTTAGGGGAAAAGTGGTGGCATAAAATCCAAAATCCAAAATTGTCGAAGGGGTGTGTGGTGACCGCCTTAAAGCATAAAACCTAATTTCCATGCTCAATTAACTAAGCATGTATATAGGTTTCTTCCAGACTCTTTTCTCGGGGGGCGGGGCACTTTAAATTTTCGGGTGGGATGGGGGGGGGCGGACTAAAATTTTCGGGGGTGGGGTGGGGCGGACACTGTTAAAAGTATATATTTTCAATATAAATTCCATTTCGTTCTGGTGGGGGGGGGAGGGTAAAGTGTGGTGCTCCTTCCCCCCCCCCCCTCCCCCCCCCCCTCCCCCCCGAAGAGATGCCTGGAAGAAACTTACTGCCAATTTGTTAACGCATTAAATGGCCTACAGACATGTTTTCTATTAAATATATCAGTAATAAACTGAGAAATCAAAGTTTTAAATTCTTTTCTAGCTGACAATCACATGGTTAAATTAACACGTTTTTTACAAATTAAATTAACTCCGCGAAATATGGTTAATTGTCTTAACTTATAAAACAGAGTCTAATTAAATATAGATAACAATCACGGATCTTCTTATCACGTTGGTTCGTCTAGTTATAGCTGTGGATTTTAGACCCTCCCAATATCGCTTTCAGACAATATAAACAGTTATACGACTCGGAATATATTGTAATCGTTACATTGAGAAATTTCCTAGTTTGGGCATACTTTATTTTCTGGCTAACTTTCTTTTCTGGGCCAACTAACTTGCTTGGGCCAACTTACTTTTCTGGGCCAACTAACTTGTTTGGGCCAACTTACTTTTCTGGGCCAACTAACTTGTTTGGGCCAACTTACTTTTCTAGGCCAACTAACTTGTTTGGCCCAACTTACTTTTCTGGGCCAACTTTCTTGTCTGGGCCAACGGTTTTGTCTATGCCAACGTTTTTGGCTTGGTTACTTTTCTTATATGGGCCAAATATCTAGTCTGGGCCAACTTTTTTTTGCCTGGGCCACTTTTCTAAAATGGGCCAACTTTCTTGCTATACCAACTTTTTTGCCTGGTCCAATTTTCTTTTCCGGGCCAACTTTCTTCTCTTGGCCAACATTCTTGTCTAAGCCATTATTCTTATGTAGGTCAACTTTCTTGTCAAAGTTAGCTTTTCGTCCGGGGCAACTTTCTTGTCTCGGTCAATTTTTTTTTGTCTGGGTCAATGTTCTTGTCTGGGCCAACATTTTCTTTTTGCCTGAGCCACTTTTCTCAAATGGGCCAACTTTCTTATCTAGGCCAACTTTCTGTCTGGGCCGAATGTTTTGTCTGGGCCAACATTTTTCTCAGGGCCAACTTTTTTATCAGGGCCAACATTTTTCTCAGGGCCTACATTTTTCTCAGGGCCAACATTTTTCTCAGGGCCAACATTTTTGTCTGAGCCAACTTTTTGTCTGGGCAAACATTTTTTTTGCCCGAGACACTTTTCTCAAATGGGCCAACTTTCTTCTCTAGGCCAACTTTTTGTCTGGGCCAACTTTTTGTCAGGGCCAACATTTTTGTCTGAGCCAACTTTTTGTCTGGGCCAACTTTTTGTCTGGGCCAACTTTTTGTCGGGGTCAACTTTTTGTCGGGGCCCACTGTTTTATCTGTACCAAAATTTTTCTCAGGGCCAACATTTTTGTCTGAGCCAACTTTTTGTCTGGGCAAACATTTTTTTTTGCCCGAGACACTTTTCTCAAATGGGCCAACTTTCTTCTCTAGGCCAACTTTTTGTCTGAGCCAACTTTTTGTCTGGGCCAACTTTTTGTCGGGGCCCACTGTTTTATCTGTACCAACATTTTTCTCAGGGCCCATTTACCTGTCGGCCAAGGTGTTCTAACCTTTCAAAAGCCACCTGTTACAATTAATCTGGACACCAGGAGAGTGTCGTCAGAACAGTGACGTCCTCACGGCTTTGAACCCCGCTCATCACGTGACCGGTATTCTGGACTCTACCTATCCCAGAACCATTCAAAATAGTGTTTTTAATTGTAGTTACAGTAGCAAGAATAATATCGGATAGTGTTTTTAATTGTAGTTACAGTAGCAAGAGTAATATCAGATAGTGTTACCAGTGGCGCAGCCAGGGGAGCTTCATCTTGGAGGGTGCGTCTTGGAGGGTGCGTCTTGGAGGGTGTGTCTTGGAGGGTCTGAACCCCCCCCCCCCACCCCCCCCCCTCGTCACACACCGTCACACAATTACAACCACTCCTACGAGTGTGACGTCATGTATGGTTCACCCATATGATGTTAATTTACATTTAACACATACGAAGTCGATTACTACTGTGAATAAAATAATCGATTTTTTCAATCTGTGGTGTTTGGATGCAGGGGCGTAGGGAGGGGGGGGTGGGGGGTGCGGACCGCACCGGGTGACACCATTTAGAGGGTGACACCAAGGCGAAAACTAGCAAAATATATAGAGAAAAACTTGACGGGGGGGGGGTGCAAATCGAAAGTTTGAAAGTTTGTCCCGGGGAAGAGTCGCTACGCCTCTAGGGTGGGGGTGACACCATTAAGTGCCGCACCGGGTGACACCCGACCTCGCTACACCACTGTTTGGATGTATAGGACTGATATCACGTGGCCATATTGAAATAAACTGATCTGTTGCAGAACGCTGACAGACTACTTGAGTTAAGAAATAAACTGATCTGTTGCAGAACGCTGACAGACTACTTGAGTTAAGAAATAAACTGATCTGTTGCAGAACGCTGACAGACTACTTGAGTTAAGAAATAAACTGATCTGTTGCAGAACGCTGACAGACTACTTGAGTTAAGAAATAAACTGATCTGTTGCAGAACGCTGACAGACTACTTGAGTTAAGAAATAAACTGATCTGTTGCAGAACGCTGACAGACTACTTGAGTTAAGAAATAAACTGATCTGTTGGAGAACGCTGACAGACTACTTGAGTTAAGAAATAAACTGATCTGTTGGAGAACGCTGACAGACTACTTGAGTTACGCCAGGCGCGTCACACGGCCTGATCACACAATCACAGAACGTATCAAATTCTTCGTCATGCATAAGAAATCAAAAGCAACTTGACAAACGTAATGTGCTGTTGTTTTTTTTTTATTCAAATCTGTGTGATGAGATCTGTACGAGGCTGTATTATTAAACATGTGTAGCTGTGAAAGTTTCAAACATTTTGTTTCGCGACTGTGTATTTCAAAGCTGTGTGCTTGTTTCTACTTTGGTTTTTACTTTCTCGTAAACGAAGTATAGAGGAAGTATTGAAATCGTGCACAATAAAAATTCGAAATCGAAATTTTTCAACATCTCGACGTTTATACACATCACTGAATCAGAAAAAACGTAATTTTGAAATTGTCTCTGTATGTCGGTGTGTATGTCTGTATGTCTTTTTGTAAACACAGTTACGTAAGTACCTTTTCATATATATGTATAAAATCTTATACTTAGATGACTTTCAATTTTTGAGTTACATCCGATAACCGAAAATAGCACTTTACTATTTTTCCGGTTTAAAAAATAACGATAATTTAAGTACCATTTCAGTTAGGTAGACTAAATTTTATACATAGGTATCAAATCAATCACATTTTAACCGATTTCCGGTAACCAAAAGTAGTACTTTACACTATGTCCATTGTCTCAAAAGGTAAGCAATTGTTCCTTTATAAAGTACTATTCTCCGTTCTATTACAGTAAAACCGTTTGCATTTAGTTTGTGCGCGAATCTTTTCTTCTACTCGGTTCTATTCTATTTTAAGAATGTAAGAATTAAAAACGTAATTAAAAAAATGTATTGCACGACTGCTCTTAAACTGCCTCCCTTTACTATTATACAAGTAGTATGATAAAATCTCCTTTTTTAATGCGGTGTCGGGTTTTTTTATTACCGTAATGTGTTGTCGGGTTTTAAGTTCAGAAAATGTGGTATTAAGCCGTCTAGCGGATATTGTTATAGGTCTATTTATACAAATATATATAAGGTATTTTATATAACTTGATGCTTTAAAACTCATAGCCATCTTTTTGAACACTGATCTAGAAATATTTAATTTAAGCAGTAATCTACTATTGGTGTTTTATTTTAATACGGCTATTTGTTGTGAATTGTTATATAAATGACCATACACTGAGGTCCAATCAAAGTAATAAATTGTAATATACTGAACTCGCTTCTTTTCTTTCATTATTTTTGTTATTAATGAATTGACAGTTGATTTGCATAATCAAAGTACTTTTCGAATCAGTGTCTGATATAGATTTAGCGCCTTTGATCGATTTACGCTAATCCGTAAGGGGTCATCCATAAATTACTTCACGCTTTCTTTGACGATTTTTACTTTCCCACCCCCCCCCTCCCCTCCGTCACACGTCGTCACAAAAAGCCAGACACCCCCCCCCCCTAAAATGACGTCACACCTCAGCCTACAACCCCTCTCAAAATTGCTGTTGAGTGTTGCTTAATAGATCGATATTTTGATCAATTCCTATTACAATTATTAAAATCGCTATCTAAAACGCAAAATAACGGCTAAAACTCGTTTTCTAACATTGCTTTTTTATAATGCAAAAAAGTGACGACACACCATCTGAACCCTCCCTCCCACCCTCATCACACACCGTCACAAAATTACGGACCCCCTCCCCCCTACGAGTGTGACGTCATTTATGGACGACCCCTTAGATTAAAAATACGATCAATATTTAAAATCAATCTGAAGAATTGTTTATACAGCGATAAGAAGAATACAGTAGTAGACGTAATGTTATACACGCCGGTAATTTATCAGTTCACGATTAATAATTTACAATATTATAATATATAATATAGTGAAGTCGTGTCTTGTATGAAACATGTAGGTCCCATAGGCCGTAATTAATTCATGTACAGATAATTTTAATTAAATCAGAATTTCAAGTCTCTTTGGTTTACGATTATCGGGGTTCCCAGTTTAAATAATTAATGACGCTTAAGTAATGAGCAGCGCATACAATTACACAGACGCGATCTGTTGGATCGAATGGAGACCAATGATTTTAAAACCTGTTACATGTCTTTCTACCGTGATATAAGTCCTCCGACATTTGATTAAGCACCAAACCAACGCCAAAACAAAATGTGCATAATAGTGCGCAATATTATTAGTAATTTATAAATTTACATGCGTTTTTTGAGAAAGCGGAAATAGCGTGAATTAATACTTCCGGTAAACGGAAATTACTCAAAATTTGATAGAAGGTAGAGAATTAGATCTTTTACTTACATGTGAAATTTCATTTATCTATCTGAAATAGTACTCAAGTTATAGGCTTTTGAAAAATTCAAAGTAGAAAAAGTACCACTTTTGGTTATCGGAAATCGCTTAAAAGTAGATCAAGATCTACGATTTTGATAAAATACTTCTATATGAAATTTCATTAATCTAGCTGTAACGGTACTCAATTTATCGTGTTTACACACACACACACACAGACACAAACAGACTTACGGACAAGATTGCAAAATTATGTTTTTCCGTATCAGTGAAGTGTAAAACGTCGAGATTTGTAAAAATTTCGATTTTTTGTTTTGCACGATTACAAGACTTTCTCTGTACTTCGTATATACGAGAAAGTAAAAATAATGTTATAAATTTAATTTAATTAAACAGGGAAACAACTATGTAATTACTCGACATTTAATCTTTTTTCATTGTTACTTCCCTTTGACCACAAAGTAGTTTTTTTTCCAATTTAGAGATCGAAGTATTTATAGCTTAGCTTTGCCAAGGATGTTTATTTTATACATTTCTTTTATCATTTAATCAAATTATTTAACAGAGAGTGAACTCATGAAACCGATATTGTCCCCGAATTCATCTTCATGCTATAACTGAAAATATATCGATATTCGAAATAAGTAGAATTGGTGTAACAGTTGTTTATAACAATGTGTTACATATTATATTTAAATTGACTAGCAACTTTAAAGTAAAGCTATCTTGCATATCATGCGGTCAATTCGGCAGAGAAAGTAGAGTTCATGTATTGGTGTTATAGTCCTGACTTATTACGTCATTAAGTCCACACGGAAAACCCAGCCGAATTATGTTTCTCCAAACATGTCCAGGTACACATCAGATCTGTGCATCAAGAAAGGTAATCGAACATGGGAATCAAACTCGTGTCCTTGGAGACAAAAAGCGCCTACTCTTTTACTCGACCATGTCCTCCCACTTCTCCAGTTGCTTATTAACGCCCTGCTTTACAGTTTTCATGTTTGAATACTTTGATTCAATGTTTTAAAGTCACACTAGTTGTTCTATCACAGCCGAATTATTAACCTCTACAAATGTTGTTTTATAATATCACAGTCAAGTATTGTTAAAGGATTTCTAGTCATTTATAATGACAACAATGTTTACACAAAAATCAGTCAATGACAACTGCAAAGTATTTTTTCATGTTTCTATTGGAGCAGGTCTAGAAGCGACGAAGTATCTATATATAATATAGCATGTGATGTGTAGAAATATTTTTAAATTATTCGAATTCCATTATTTTTCTAATTATATCATTTAAATTAGCCTTACTTACATAAACACATGGACTTTGTTGTAAAGTTTAAACTTACAACCTATGACAATCTGATGCGAACATCGACATCACAACATGCACTGTTTTATGACAACTTAAACATCAACAGACAACAAAGATTAAAATAACAGTAGAAAGATATTTCTTTTACCATTTAATTTCGTTTAATGTGAACAATGTGTAAACAAATAGAAACAGTATGAGTATAACATTTGATAAGTAGGTTACATTTAATGTACAGGTAATAGCCAGCCTAAAGGTATATGACAACAATTTGCCGACAAAAGTTATAAGGAAATTAATTAAAACGTTTGAAACAAAAAAAACTCTAAAATCCATCAATTTACATGTAAATTAATTAGGTTAAACAGATTACATCAATCAAAACATTTGTTTTAATCATTTAAATGTAATAAAATGTTGATAAGACATGCAGGTCTTAACACAAACAGTTTAATGTCGGTAAAGGTTCCGCCATTTTGTTTGTTTACATTATGTAGACCAGGGGAGAGAACCAACAGTTACATCAGACTCTACACTCCCCACTATAATTTCCTTCAGGGCTTGATCCACTGTGGGGATGGTGATAATACAACCACTTGTCATGTCCCAGCCTGTAGACAAACGCTCCACTGGAGCCAGGACATGTACATGTTGTGTACCAGTACCTGGTCCAGTTTAACCCTTTATCATCCCTCTTATGTTTGTGTGTCCATTGTCCTACAGAGACCTGTTTAGGACAGCCATGAGGATGTGACACTATAACGGTCAACCTGTCCACATCAAGAAATCTCCTGTATTTGTGCTCTACTTTCCCAAATAGATAATACATGCGGTCACACATCTTGCCCAGTTCATCAACCAACTCTAAGTCACATGTCACATAACTCAGCTCACACCTGTCTCTCTCAATGTTTGCCTCCCACACCCTCCAGCCATCAAGACTGACCACTGGACTTTTATTGTCATCAAAACCTAAAACACACCTGGTCTGTCTCGCCTCACTGTCATCAAACACCACGTGTGTGGCTGTCAACACATGAACCTTCCCCCACACTTTACTGGGTGTGGCAGAGACTTGACACTTGGCACAACGACAAGTTCCCCATCTGTCACTCTCTGTGTACTTGGTCACACACCACACCATACCAGTCCCTAACCTCATCACGTGACTTCCTCTGTCACTATAACATGGATATGGAACTTGAGTGTCTGGGTAAAACTCTGGTCTCTCTAAACTGGTGAATTTAGTCTTTACCTGGACAGTTAGGGCAGCCAATGTTAAGATTGTCTCAAACATGAGGTCGTTATGGTAATGTGAGGGGAGACAATTTATGTTGAAATCTTTAAGAGGTATAAAACCTTTGTGACCTGGATTCTTCTTACAGCCAGTAACATGTTTGTGTAGATCAGCTTCTCCTCCATAGCACATCTCAGCTTCATGATTTCCTACAGGAATAGGGAAAACAAATTATCTAAACTGACTAAATAGCTTTAAAAATGATACAAAATTCTTTTAATTTAATTAATTAGCTATACTTTGTTTAAACTAGCACAAATGTGTAATTGTGTATATTAGATTTAGCTTATGTTTATTGTTGCTTACCTGGATAAAACACACCTGCTTTGTAACTGTGTCTAACTTTGTTGGGGTTTTCACAGCATGCTAAATCTGAAAAAGAAATTAAGAATGTGGTTTTCTTACAGAACAAGGGAAACATATTTTCTAAAAGGTTTAAATCATAAATACTTCTATACTATAAAAATCACAAACTATTTTAATACCAATATGTTCATGCTAGCACAGATTTATATGCACTAAATCTAATGACAATACTATTAGTATGTCAGTTTTCCTTACTTACAGGAAGATATAATAACACAAACCCATCAAAATGAACAAAAAACATTCTAATTTTTCTGATAATTTAACATTAAAGGATACCTCCACCTGTTGACATAAAACTATAACATAACATAATTGTTTTGCTAGATTGGCTCACATATATAGAGGATTTATTAATTCTCCTTTAAATTACCTAGCAGATACTTAATTTATGTATAATAAAGTTGTTCATTACCTGTAATCATGGAGCATTTAGGCTTTTTGTTGGAATTTTCCATGATGTGTGTCTGTAGATATTTAAAGTGTTTTATTAGAAACATGCCATTGGTTTGTAAGATACATACAAGTTAAATACAATGAATTTTTAAAATGAAAAATTGAATTAAAAGATATGCAATATTTTTTTAAATGAATGATTATTTAGTTAAGTTTGTAATGGTCTTTCAGATATTAATAAATTATGTATATGATGTTTATAATGATATTCTGTATTATATCCAGAACTTCAGATGTAACCTTTTAAAACTAATCCTTTATGTCTGATCAATGTAAGCGTATAGTTTTGTAATTGTTCAAACACTTACCAAAAATGTAGGCCTACACAGTTTTCTGTTTAAAACGACATGTTTTCAGAACAAATAAACACAGCTGTCACAACTTTTCTTTGAGATCTAAAGTCAAACACAGGAGTATAAAATGTAACAGTTTTATGTTTTGAAAAAAAAATGAGATATAGAAAACTACATAGGCCTACAATCTCTAAACAAACTAACCAGGAATAACCAATATTTTAGGAATGTATTTAATTTAAAATACTTACTGTGTAAGCAAGACAGCTTGGTATGGCTATATTTTGACTTGAATATAAAACTTCTCATCTGGAGAGAAAATCATTTGAATGAACACAAACAGCTGCCAAATCTGGATGATCTGAAATTAAACAGTTAAGAATAATGCTATGTAATCATTCACAAAGAAGGTAAAGCACCAAAATAATACTTCAACTGGGTGAAATAGGGAGACTAATCATTATAGGATCATAACTGCATATCTATGTGACTTACAATACTGCAGTAAATTATAATCAAGCAGCCTAAATCCTAATTCTAGTGTTTCAATTTTATAGTTGATAATATATAGTAGACAATATTTTATGCACCATTAGACAGTGCAAAATATGCTGAAGGTGACATGCATACATCAAAAATATAGTCTATATGTCTATACTTTTTAAAAGTAGCCCTACTGATTGACAAAATCAGCATATAGCAATTTAGTTTTAAAGGTACATAAACAATTGTAGGGCTTTTGTTAAAATGCATCCTGTATATTTACAATTTATTGTATTAAAGAATTTAGAATGCTTTTTTTCATTGTATAGTTAAAATTATTTTCAAATGTTTCTATGGTTTATATAATTAGAAAGAGTTATGAAAATTGCATACATTCACCACAGTTCTTGTAGGCCTATGGCGACGTTCACAGAGTGCTATTTTTAGTATCACGCTAGTTTGTTAATATGTGGTTTTCCCGAACTTATATATTAGGTCTAAATCGAATGATAAATAACTTCTTATATTGTCTGTGTCCGAATATGTTCCAATTTCTTTATTCTTTTCTTTGCGTATTCTTTTTTTTGTTCAATAGTGTGAAAATGTATGTGTCTAGGGAGAAACATAAACACATGTGCTATTTTTAGAAAAAGAAAAAGTCCCACAATCTGACGTTTTCCCGATTGTCCAGCCTATACTTTTAGCATTAACGAGGCTCTTAGTGATGGGGGGGGGGGGGGGGGAATTCACAGAGAGGAGGGGGAGGCAAACAGAGAAACGTTAGAGTGTGTGGTGAGGGGGAGTGCTGAATTTAAACTTAATTTTAACATATATTAATTTTCAATAACATTTTCTTTCGTCCCGTATTTTGACTCATTTTTTTAAGAAAAATATTAAATCTGCTATTTTGTATGCCGAACCAGTTATGGCGCATAACCAGTTGACACGTAATCCTTAATTGTGATGGAAGCTTGGTCGAGTCGGCAAAGCTCATGGTTGATAAATTCGAAAAAAGTATCGAGTTCAAACCCTCTGGCAGATAAGACTCGATCCCTCCCAACACTAAAAATTAAGAACGAAGAAGAAGAAGAAGAAGTATGCCGATTTAAAAAGTAAAAAAAAAATTTATCAATGTTGAATTCCGTGTGTGCAGATAGCTATCTAGGTCGAAGTTTCATGATGTGCGTTCAATTTTCTTTACTTAGTCAATATAAAATTTAAATGTTTGACTCATATTATTTCTATCGGAAAAATTTTACACACATGTATTTTTATATCTGTTACGTTATTTTAATAATTTGCATACTTATATTCTTAAGTTATAACACATACAACCATACTATGACGTAATATATCCAAGTTGATGTAATGGTTTTGGTGGTTAAAAAATGCCATTAATAAATTGCAGTTAGAACTTCCACTTTCCCTTGTAATAAATACATTAAGCAATAATTTACAATTGAATCAACTACATTAATAAAACTAGAGAAATAATAAGTACATACCTTCCTCAGCAGATCGTATAGGGTTATGTTGAAATGAAAATGGCGATTCGTCATAATGCTATTTTTAGTGTCACGTAAAGTCCGGTATATAAAGTTTTCCCGATATTATTTAATAAGTCTTGGACATTGCCGTTTAGCTAGTACCTTATGAACTTTCCTATAATCTGCAGAAACAATAAATAATATAACTAAAGTCAATTATTAAAATAAACAGTTTTAAAATATTTTAAAATAGCATAATTATGTTTACGCTTATAGCTCCATTCTTATTTTTTTTTCAATTGAACATATAACAATACATGGTTTGAAAACAATGTTGAGTTTTCATTACAATGCAACTCTTTTAGACTAGAACATGCCCAGTCGAGTAAATTAATTATTCACAAAGATTATGATAATGCAACATATCTTAACAACATCGCACTGTTAAAAACTTCAAGAGCGCTTAAATTGTTCCGAATCTGTAAGGCCGATATGTCTACCCGAAGGCAACATCTGGGTCGCTGCGCCGTGTTTTGCTATGGGTTGGGGATTAACGACACGTAATGTATCAGACTTCAGGATGTCAGATGTTCTCCAACAGCTTAATGTCTCTATCTTGAACCAGACCCTCTGTCAAACTATTCGCCGGTTTTTAGGTGTGAATTTTACTGATGGTAACTTATGCATTCACTCATCTGATAATTCCGGTATATTTCTATTTGAGCTGTATCAAAATACGGGAGGTACTACATTCTGGGCATAGTCAACACGGTGCTCCCAACGGGATTTGAATGGGTCCATGACGCGTTCACGGCAGTATCTAAATGCGTGAAGTGGATCACTGCCACTATTCTCGCTGATTAAATTATTTGGGATGATAAGATCAATGTGAAGGACGTAATTGTTGCTTGCTGTACTTGGCTGTTTGTATATTTACTTCAAGCATCGAAATCCAACCTGGAGAATAGATCTGAATAAATCTAAATAAACCTTGTTATTTATTTGTAGTTTAATTACCTGTTTCTTATTATAACAATGATGTATTTTCAATAAACTATTTTATATGATGTATTGTCGATA